TGTCCAAAGCAGAGAGAAAGACAGAGTGACACACCCTGTAACTGAGTCCATTCTGGATGCTGTAACAAAATACCTTCCCGCTTGGTGGCTTATAAAGATCAAAAAATTATTTTTTACAGTTCTGAAGTCTGGGAAGTTCAAGGTCAAGGTGGCAGCAGATTCGATGTCTCCTGGCTCGTGGAATGGCAGCTTCTCCTGGTGTCCTCGCAGGATGGAAAGGGTGCAGAAGCTTCCTTTGGCCTTTTTATAAGCGCACTAATCCCATTCATGACCTAGTCACCTCTCAACACCAACACCTTGGTTAGGATTTCAACACATGAATTTTGGGCGGACTTTCAGACCATGGCACCTGGCATTTTCCTTTCTCTTGCTTAGATCTGCCACCGGCTGAAGCCCATTGGAAGTCTGATTTTACAGGTGTCAGCCCCCTTGAGTGCCAAGCAAAGCAAGGGAAAGCAGAGAATGGCTCTGAGGGTAAACAGGTAAACATCACACACATCCATGAACTCATGCAAACACAAAATCTCACCAACATTTTGAGAAAAATTTAAAATGAAAGACTGATTCTTGCTTTGATCAAGGGAAATAAAAAAAAGATGCTTCTTTCATGAAGCTACCCCACCTTCCCTGATGCTTGAAATCCCTTTCATAGGAAATAAAACTTTGGTTTACCATATACCAAGCAAAGTAGTACATACTCCTGGGAGAGAGGACACCTGTACCTTTTCCATTCTTTCTATTCCTTTATTGCTGGAAAGTCTTGTGCCTATTATTCAGTGGACACTGTTTTAGGTTCTAAACTTTTATAATAGACACACTTTACTAAGACACAGAAGTACAATATGTCAATAAGTTATAATTTTAAGCTAAAATAGACTATACAAAAAGCATGCCATGAGACTAAAGAGGAACAATAACCAAGGCAGGGACATTTTTGTCTGGGTCTTGAAGAGTAAATAGGAGTTAAAGAAGGGAAGAGGAGATACTAGGACAGAGAAAGATGGAGGCATCATCAGAGAATGGTGAGGCCTTGCACATATATAGAAGAACAACAAAATCTAAACTGCATCAAAGCTGCACTGTCCCTTCCCTGACCTACCCCACCCCCAATATGCACAGGTACACGTTCCTATGGAAGGCATTATTGTTCAGTTCCAGCACATTTTTCAAACATGCCTGCACACAACCTCAGAATCCTTCTCAGCACAGGGCCACTGACATCTGTTCCTAATTGATCAGTGAATATACTATGATATAAAACCATTTCCCCTTCTTACCCCCATTTATCCTCGGTGGATCTAGCATGTTTTATATGGTGAGGGGCATAGGTAACTGAAAGAGCCTAGAAAGGAAGATTATGAAGCTGGGAAAGGCATACAGGAAAAAAGCTGACAGCACCGTTATCTCACAATTCAAGATTGTAAGACTGCCTTAGAACAACCCTGTGAGCAAAACAACGTGATGCATTCCTGGCAGAGGCTGCAGTTGGGCTTTGGGCAGAGAACTTCCAGTTGCTATAAACCCTCTCTGAAAACACTTTTGAAATTGTGTCTGCATCTGTGAGGCCAACCTGAGATAGTGTTGCCTGAAACATTAGTATGATATTCTGGGTCTTTCCATAGTGGAGATTATTACTAGGTGAGACTATCTATAACAAAATAGGGTGACTATAAATATTCTGGGGCTTCTTGTGCTCCTCCAGTCGCTACATTCCTGGCTTCTTTGCTACCCATTTTCTTCCAGGACTCCTGAATGTGAATATTCTCCAATGAAGTAAATTGGGTTAGTACCTTTGCACAGTAAAGAGAACGCGCTGAACTTTAGGGCAAAATTTCTTCATTACAAATGGATTTTCTCCTGGGATCTCAGGGTACAGAAACTTCGGGTTATGCCATAGCTTTAGGTTTGCAAGGCTTTTGTGCTCACATGCAGTCCTGCATCCATAAATCAGTGTCTTGGAACTGATTTTATTAGACAGATATAATGAATAGAGTACCTAAAGGTACACACGGTACCGTTTTTCCAAAAGCTTTAATATATTATGCCTTTTGTTAACTGGAAATTAGCTGAAGCATTCTTATACATATTATTATAAGAAAAATGACTTAGCACCACCCCATGCGTATCCAGGTGATTCTAGCAGCCTCTCTAATGCTCAACAAAGATGCCTACAGAACAGAATATTAATGAAAAAAGAAAATTCCAAAGGTACATTGATAATCATTTCATAAACCATCCATTTATTATTTCCACAGTGTTAGCATGCAGAATTTTGCCAGGTGGCTCACGCTTCACTTAGAGGTTAGATTTGTGTTAACAGTGTCTCTCCCACATGAGGGCGTCAGCGCTCTAAGCAGCTTTGGGTTTTGCCTCCCTGGGTTTGACTTTAAGAGCTCTATTTTGAGAAAACGAAAACACTTTACGAGCCTCATACGTCTTAGACTATATAAAATTAACATTTTGTTTATCTTCCTGGAGAAGCCATTCATTCTTTTCTATCGTTCATTTAGCGGCGTAAACGGTACCCTTCTTCCGAGGGGGGAAGAAAAAGATGACACACCTGTGACATTGCCACTCCCTGTGCCCATTTATGCCTTCACAGTCCACAGGGGTCAAATTAGTTTCTGTTATATGAAAGTGACGTGTAGAATTTTGATGAGCGGGAGTACTACATGGCGCATGCTCATGTGCAATGAAAGTTAATCCACTTTTCAGACCGTGTGTGTATGTGTGTTCATATTCCATGGATTTACTTTCACAGCTCTGGTTGCAGCCATCACACATTATCTCAGGTTAATTCCAAATTTCACACTCTTAGGTGAGAGTAGTTCAAGGTAATTTTATAGGTAAAACTAACATAGCTAGATCCCAGGTATATTACCCTCAGTCTAGTTATTGGCGTAAGGACTAAGAGTTTGTCAGTGAGAACTTGCAATGACTTGACTTTTTCTCTGCCAGTTAAGAATAACTTAATCAGCTCAGCATTGATGGCATCTCAATAAGCCCCTACCTGCATTTTGAGCTTTATCTCTGCTTACTCCACTCTCAGATGGCATACAGGTTCCACCTGAATGGATAACTCACACACTGCTGTCGGCACATGGCAAAGGCATCCCACACTTTATTGTCAAATCTCATTCTGTCTCTTCTGCTTGAAATATCATCCTTGGTCCCTGTCTGCATTTTAGTAGCCCAGCTCCTTCTCAAGGCCCAGGATGGACCCCAGCTCTTCTGATTCTTGTTCTGATTTTGCCCTCTCCACCCTCCAGGGTGTGATCTTTCTCTAACGAGAATGCCAGGGGCACGTTGTCATTGATCCCTGGACACTGGCCCCATTTTGTTATTCTTAAATGTGTCTGATATCCCCTTATCATCTTGCTGCAGAGATGATACTAGGCCCGTCATTTTGCTCCTTTAAACCAGAAGTACTTTGCTTTTCACCCAAAGGGGCAGAACAAGGATTTCCCTTTTTGTATTTCTGTGATGTCCTTTTTTTGCTGCTTCTGTGAGTTTGTGTCCCCTTCCCAATATTTTACGTGTGAGGTGGCTCTGTAACCATTAACGGTGTACCCACGAGTCACAGCTGGCAGGTTTGGCTTGGAGGGAATGGTGTAGATGCAGCTTGCTCAGCCCCTGAGTCCCCACTGAACCCCGTTCTCTCTAATTCCTTCTTCTCACATTTCTATCAAGTGGCCGGGGTGAAGGGGAAGGAGAGTCACCAGTTTTAGTCTACCGGTGAGAAGTCAAGTTCACAGACGTTATGAACTGGTCTAGTGACAGACAAGAAGCAGAGGGGGAATGGAACACAGGATAAACTTACAGGAATCAGAAACTACCCCTCTGGGCTTTATTACCACTGGAGAATTTTCAACCCATGACTTTTCTGTCTCTTTGCTTTTTTCTTTTTAATCTGGAAATTATAACAATTGTTTTTTTTTTTTTTTTTTTGCTAGAAGATAATGAAAATAGCACATACAGGCTTCTGGAGTCACTGAAATTTTTCACTGCACATGCAGCTAATAACTATAACTACTCCCTCCCTTCATAACTTTGCAGTCCAAGTATTCGGTCAACAATTGATTATTATGCACCCATC